TTAGTATAAATTACTTATAGATGAGATATTTTTCCGCAGTAAAAAGTATCCTATGTGTCGACCCAGATAACCAGTTATGATCATACCAAATTTCATTAAATTCTGTTCAGTGGTTTTCTCGTCATGCGTTCTCAGACAGACAGACAGATAAAAATTCTAAAAACTATTCATTCGTTCTCTGTATCGATAAAAATGGCCATCTCAATAAGAAAAATATTTAATGTACAGATTAGATTCAGTTAGAATTTTACAAATTATGTGTACATAATATTAAATTTTAAAGTATCTAACGTAAGGAAAACGTAAAATGAACTTACAATAACATTTTTTATATAATTTTAAAAGTTTAACATCATTTTTTTTAGGAAAATTAATCATAATTTTAACGTTTGTTTATCTTTTGAATACTTATGAATAATTATGTCTATATAAGAAACGAAAAGTATAAATACTTGTTTTGACCACATGGTATATACATACATATAATAAACATCTATATATATGTTTATTTTGGCTTAGTAAATAATATAAAACATTGAATATCTCACTCATATACTGTCCTAATACTGAAGAAAAATAGTATAAACTGATAAAAATAGTAGGAATGAAAAGTTCTCTACGTAGAGCAAAACAAAAAGACAGACACACAGACAGTCAAATATAACAATATTTAAATATGTTTATTATGTTACGCTATTAAGAATCATATATCACTTAATTTCCTTAACATGATAATCCGCGATATAGCAAAGTACACTTGAAGTAATTCGAGATTCATCGTTTCTATTTTGCTTCGTTATTTGCAAAGGTTAAGCCTGTGACGGCGTGTGGGTGAATTTTGAGATTACTTTAGCCTGTTTGTCGGATTAGCGTCAGGTAGTATCTAAAATAAATCTATCTTAGATTAAAAAAAATATATTCAAAGAAGGTTTTATTTTATAATAATGGTTAAAATGATAAAGATTAATGTTAAAGATATTTGCTTAAATAATAGTATTATTGAGCTTATACGTATGTGAATATTAATATCCCCCCCGATGTGAGTTCACCTTATCCTAGTAGAAGGGGGCCATTAGTATCCGGCAAGCCAGCCGGGCATGAAGCCAAAAGACACACAGGGAGGTGGCCCACAGAGAGGTGCACCATGCGGTTTGCTCCTGGTACTTCTCTGACACCGTGGACCGTGGTAGCAACCCATTGGTTGTGTAGTCTGCTTTGAGAATCAGCAGTCGCGGCGTCGTGGATAAGTGCGTAAACGATCCCGCGACGCCCCATTAAGATGGAGGAGGTTCTGTTGGTTTTTAGTGGGTAGTACTAGTTTTTCTAGCCGATGAGTCAAACATAATCAGTATGTATACAGGTGATATGCGTAATTAACGCTTAATGCATTTCCCAACATTAAAATAATAATTTAATGTGCCCTAATAATGTTTAAGTACAATCTAAGATCCATGTATCAATATTTTTTTTTAATTTCACTATCTAATATCCTTTTTTCTACAATCATTATTTCTTAACCTTTACATAAAATGTTTTATTCCTTTAGACAAAAATCTATCTTTATCTTTTATTTTATTCGATAGAGCGTTTCAATTATTTGTTGCAGACCGATAGAAATGTCAATTAGGATTAGTTCAACAAGAACTGCCAATAGCTTACAACCGAAATCTTACCTGCTTTATTATTTTTAGTATAATCTTTCGTAGTTAAGTATCATCATAATATATGTAACTAGCTACTCACCCTCGCTTCGCTCGGGTTCGTTCCGAGCTTGTTTCCCAATTCAAACTTTCATCCCCATTTTCACACCTTTAAGGAATTATTTCCGGGAAAAAAATATCCTTTGTCCTTTCCAGGTTCTCAAACTATCTTCTTACCAAATTTCATCTAAATCGGTTCAATAGATTCAGAGATTACCCCCTACAACGTCACAAACTCACAATAACAAACATTACCTCTTTTTAACACCTCCAGTTAAATTTCTAAGAAATTAATTAAAATTCTAAGAAATCTATTGTTAACTGATACGCCGGCGTATTTGCGGTAGTGGAGGGAATAGTAGATAAGGAATATGAGTGTGATTTAAATCAAAATGAATTATTTTTTATAATCTTTATTGCTTTTGAATTAAGCCTATATTAATATTTTTTAATGTAATTTGGTTTTGATTAAAAAAATAATGATTAAAAAGTGCAAATATAGGTTGAAAATCTAAAGTGGTTGAAACGCAACGCCATTGGTCAGATCGTATATAAGACATCAGATCATAACAGTGCGATTTGCGATTTTGTCGCTACAAATTGCTTAAGCAAAAATCTTAATTTTTCTGTGTATGATAGGTATACTTTGACGTCACGCCAACGTGAAATGGCGGGCGTTTAAAATATTTGTATCGGTATGATATTTTGAAGAAAAAAATTTACACCAAATTTTACTTTTTTGGAGCTGCATATTTTTTTTACAATCAAATAACGATGTCAGCTATTGTATAAAAATGAAAAAAATATATACGAGTATATCACACATATTCCCTGTTTATGTGTACTTATCCATTACAAATAAAATACTTCGCAGACTGGAGTCATATCATGAATTTTCTCACGAATGTTCCTATAATAGGTTTGGTAATAAATAAACAATATAAGTGTAGAAATATTTATTACAACAGAATCTGAGCTATCCACAACATCAGTAAGTACATGAAATCTATTTGGTTACAAAGTTTTGTACAATCCGTTGCATAAATCATAACATTTAAATACTAATGCATTTTAAAAATGAAATAACTTTAATTTCACATTCATACTTTATACAATATTTTTCATAATCTATTATCTACTATTTACTTTATACCGGTGGTAGGACTCTGTCAAGCCTGAGGAATCTGACTGGATGGGTACCACCCCCTTATATTTCTCCCGCCAAGCAACAATGATTGCATTGTTTGTTCCGGTTTGAAGGATAAGGTAGCCAGCGCAATTTGCGCTTACAATGACAACGCACCTACGGTTCTGCATTTTTGTTATATAAAACCTAAGTGCATGAACCGCAGGTGTTATGGGCGACAGGTACCGCTTTCCATCAGGTGGGCTGTCTGCTTGTTCATCACTGAGCACCATAAAAAAAAATTGCCATTTCTATACAGAAAACTGTAATTTTAATATTATAAAAGATTTGTAATTATAAATCATATAATTTATTCGCTAATTATATATCTATTCTTATTTATGAAAAAGTTGATTTAATTATTTTTTTTAAATGAAACGATGATATAATTAAAATAAAATTAATTTCTTTTATGAGCTAAAATTACAAGTTTTCGAATCGATGATCGATGATCTTTGAATCTTGAAATGTTTCTTTTACTTTCCCGATAGTTTTATAATGTTTAATAAAAAAATTAAGAATTGACACGTTAAGTTTCATTTTAAAATTATGTATTGAGATATAACAAAAACATTTTTTTTGATGATTTGATAGCTTAATAATTGATACCAAATCTTAAGGAGAGTACTGAAGAGTTTAAATAGTGGGTGGCTTCAGCTCCCTCGCTTACCGACTGACACGCAGTGATATTGTTACTTCATAAGAAACAATATATGAGAGCACAGTACGTGTCCGGTCGAGCTGACATTTACGTTAACATCCACAAGTCTATTAGATAATAAAACCTCTTTGTTTGGAACAAGAGTAGATGCATTATGTAGCTGAAGCATAATTATTACATTGTAAAGAGAAAATATACTTAAAATGATCTCTAACAACATGTCTTTATATAAGTAATTAGCGATTCACCCTCGCTTCGCTCGGGTTCGTCCCTAGGTTGATTCCCCATACAAACTTTCTTTGTATTTTGTTTAAAATCTGAAAAATGTACTAAATAATATATAAGTATACGATGTCGTAATTTTCAAATAATCCACGAGGGATCATATTTTCACTTAAACAAGGGATCGTGACAAAAGTTTTTACATTTGATTTATTATTTAAGCTTGTAGCTGCTTAAGTTATGTGGACTGTAAAAACTCTATCAAAACAAACTCTGGATTATTTAAATTATGATCTTGTATCCTTTATAATATTGCAGATTTTTGATATCTATATAAATATAAATAGGAAAAAATAAAACCTTTTTCTCTTTGGTCTTTCAACCGATTTTCTTTATTTGTGTAATAGCTTGATGAGCTTTAGTGATATCAATAAAAAAAAATTGTGAATTCATATATATTATGTTTTCCTCAAATTTTCAATAATTATTATGTTCAAATTTCTACCACTGGGCAATATTAGCTTATTACTTATTATAAATTCACTAATTTTATACAAGTTCTCGATTTTTCTGATTATGTATCAGTGATTTTGATGGAGTGCCTTTCGAAGACTGTATATATGTACATACGTTCCAGTTAACTTATATAACTAATAATAATTTCATCGCTATACTTTATCTGTCTATATATTTATGTATAATAAAATGAAAGTGACTTGTTTCAAAACAAACTTTACTTTGATTGATGTGAAACAACGAGATATTAAAATTTTAACAACAAAATTTCAAGAAACCTAATTACAAAACTTCTTAGAACAATTTAACTCTAATAATTTTATATAGGTATTGTTATTTTTCGAAATCTATTGCAATTATACTCGTATAAATTATTTTATCCTTACATATATCCAAATAAGTGAAGACTATAGACCATTGAAATATGAAAGTTGACATCAACATTCTAAAATAAGTGCGCATAACGACGACAATATGTTATACATTTTGATACAACAAACAATAGAATATTTCTTATATGCCATTCAATTCGAAATGTAAATATTTACAATAAATTTTGAATTTGTACACTAACATATGATATGGAAATAAGGGCTTAGCCTAATCAACACTTAATTATATTTTACAAGGGTAAACACCGTAATTACGACTAGGTAGATATGCGAAACTTTATTCTAATATCACAAACATTTTGTCTTTAAAAACTTATATGTCAATACAACACTAGAACAGTCACAATTAAAAGGGAGCTGGGTACAACTCTATGTACTTTCGAAAACGCCTTCAATCTAATCTCATTTTGCACGGGATGTCCATACGTTTCTTCTATAGACTGCATTAGGTCTTTCGGACACGGCAAAGTCTCTAGGGGGTAATCTATCAATTTGATAGATTTATTCGCGTTTGGTTTTTCTTTATCTTTGTCATTATAGTCATCGCTTTTATCGTAATATTCATAGTTATCGCTAGTTAAAACGTTACTACTATCAGTTTCGTCGTCTTTCGACTCACTTCGCCTGTCAGCGGTCGGCTCCGGTACACAGGATACTTTTTCGAGAGCATGTTTCATAGTATTGTCTTGAGTCTCGTTCCGGAGCACATATATCCAGGAAAGGCGGCAATTACAGTTGAGTGGGTTACCTGAAACAAAAGTGCGTATTAGATTTAACAGCCAGAACAATTGCAAATGAGAACAATTCAGAGGTCCGCAATAATTAGAGAAGTCAGGCTTTGTGTCATTAAGCACAAAATCCTTAGACACTTAATATGCATTACAGGAATCGAGATCTCCATTTAAATTTAAATTTTCATATATTTTTTCTAATCTAGCGAGAGATCGCAGCCATTAATTCTAATGCGTCTTATTAAAATTTTATGCACATTTTTAGTAGTTGAATGGAAATGCATTCCTTTTACATATATATCCGTACCCATTATGCCTAGAGAACTCATTATTTTGTGGAGTAGTAAGTAAGAAGTGCTATTATCAAACAAAGAGGAAAGTGCTCTGCCTACTCTGTGGTATCATTAACTGCGTTAAGCCTTTAAATCATTACGTTAAATATATCGTTACTTTAAACAAAAGGGGAAACGTTCGACATGAATAAGCAGTAGATTACAAATATTAAGCCATTTAGAAAGAAATTATCAAATGTTTACGACTTTTGGTATAATTTTCTATTAAAAAGTTTCGATTTTCAATTATTATAAAAAATAAATCAAATAATTCTATATAGTATTATGAATAAAATGTTTTGAAACCATTAAAAAACAAAATTAATTGAATAATGAATAAAAAAAGTACAAAATATACTGTAAAGCGTACTACTACTTTATAAAGCATATCTATCTATACTAATAAATAGAGAGTCGATTTTTTTGTTCGGTTATACTGCGATAGCTACTGAACAGATCGGAATAATACTTATAACATAAGACGCAGCGTGTTTTGGAGAAGGTTTTAGTATATGATATGTTGGTAATTAATGTACTATGCGGGCGGAGTCGCAGGAAAACGCTAGTAATAGAATATGTTGATATTAGGCGTGATTAAGGAACTTCGCTATATGCAACTCGCAGGCTAAACAAAAAAAACAATTTAGTGAGTAAATCAACTGAATAATTAGATACAAAAAATCATTCAAACATTCATAGTAATTGCTATTATTCTAGCTAGATACCTAACCTACCTACACATATACACAATAATAATTCATGATCTAGACTGGTGTCAAAATATCGTATATTGCCATTACTACATATCTCATGTCAAACAAATATTTAGACAAAGACAGTTTGATAGCAGATCTGTTTACAAATCATAAGCGAGCACAGTATACACACGTAAGATGTTTATATACGACGCAACTATATAGCGTATGGGAATGTGGGGTTATATATGCATAACTGGACTTCGCATGCTTGAGATCACAGGTTAAACTGTGTTCGGAAGAATGTTTTTTTAGAACTCATAATAACATCGTCTCAACATATAGGAGATACGTTATTTAGTGATGGCAGCCAATCTCACTGATACAAGCTTCGTATAGATGTAACTGCCACGTCTAGTGACTCATATACGGCTGTAGATCCGGAGGTCTTGGTTCGAGTCACAGGTCGGATCACGTCTAGTTATTGAGTTTTCCTCTTAAGAAATTCTCAGTAATAACCCAGAATTATTAAGATGACGGTGTTTAACCTCGTGCCTCATTGAAATTGTCATTCCATCGAAATTTGAAAGTGTCTGTGCGTACACTTGTGCACTATATATCTATCTACAGCGCTTTAAGGTTTGCTGCCGTAGCTGAAATCGGTCAAGACGATCGTAACAATATTTGCTTTTAATTCTTTACTCTCAAAGCCTGATGGGATGGCAATCAATCACAGTCAGAAAGAGATTAGGCGTAGGATTGCCGTATTTACGTACAATTCGAGGAGGTGTAACCCTTAAGTTAAGTTTTTTTTTATCATTTTGACTCACCTAATAAAAACCTAACATCTCTCTCGACCTAGCCCGGGACTTTAAATCAGGATTTTATAGTACAGCTGTATAAACTAACCACTAGGTGAAAATAAAAACACATTTTCATCATAACTAACTGTATTAGATTTTCAAAGTCCACTCAACAAGACAAAGTGCAAAAAAAAATACAAAATTTTATATGTATAAATATTCAGTTTTATTTGTAATTTAAATCGTTATCAATTATTTATATGGCTCGAGGGACATTTTAAAGTGCATTCGCAATTAACACTTTACTACAAGTTTATAATTATGAGATATAAAAGTGAGATTAAAATATTTATTACTAACTACTTCAGAAAAATTTAGATTTAAGTAGGTACTTCCTTATTGGTTGAATAATATTATTACGTTTTATATTATGATATCAGAGCAGTTAGTAAGTCATAAAAGGGCACTAGAATATTTTCCGTATTCTTAATTATATGTTCGGACATTAACACACAGCACCATCTAGTTCCATGTTAAGCTACGAGGCCTATGTTATGGATACCAGATAGTTGATATACACATATATAACTTTAAATACATACATATTATAAATATAAACATCCATGATTGGAGTACAAACATTCGTTCTCATAACAAATGAATGACGGGACCCCAACGGGACTCGAACCCGCGACCGCTGGCACAGCATTTAGGGTCACTACAAACTGAGCCAAACCTTGTTCATATTTTGTTGAAAAAGCATGGTATGTTAACAAAAACGATCATTTCGATATGTGCAAATCAAAAAGTGTGCGCAAATTTTTTTTTATAAAAGTTTAAAAAAAATAAAAGAATATCGCAAGATACTATAAGAAATGTATTCTCGTAGTAGGTCCGCTCGTCTTTGAACATAGGTACCTACTTTATTTTTAGCGCTTCACCCTCACTTCGCTTGGGTTCGTCCCTAGGTGATTCTTTAAATTGACATAACTTTTTTATTTATAAACCAATTGAAATAAAACAATGAGGTAGTAAATATTAAGTAAACCTTACCACTTTACAATAATGAAAACCGCACCCAAATCGGCTCAGCCGTTTCTGAGATTTAGCGCGCACAGACGTACCGACAAACAGAAAAACAGACAAAAAATCTCAAAATTATTATTTCGGATTCTATTGACTTTATAAAGACTCCCAATAAGTTTTTCTCAAATATTTTCCATGTACAGTCAGCGATCAGTTACACTTTTATTATACACATGTATCTATAAATTATAATAAACAATACCTTAATCACTAAATTTACATACGATTTAGAAGAGTATATATAATATATTAAAAGTGCAAAGTCCAATACCAATTTAATTAAAAATTAAATAGGTTCGATTTTGCAGCTGTATTGAACATTTAGTGTTGACTTTCGTCTAGTTGTATTCAAATATGTATATATGTGGATTTTAACACGTTGACTGTCCGTGCATTAAATGTAACGCATTTGGGATCGACTGTGTAACCAAATGTCCCGCCGATTTTTTTTAATTTTTATTTTTTTTATCCCCATGTACCTAATCTCGAGAAGAAACCACCCATTGAGAAATTTAAAATATCAGTTGGCTTGTTGTTTTCTTTTGAAATTAGGCCTTTTGATTATAATATAATGATATCCATCCAACATTTCTATTGATATGAAAGGAATATTTTGCACATCATGAGTAACTGAATCTAAGTCGGCGTCATTTTCAATTAAGCCTTCCATTTCGCGCATAAATTCGTCCTCGTCACTATGTTTCAAAATGCGTCGCATTTTTTCATCTGATAAGAGTTAGCACTAAGAATAAAAGTCTGCTTTTAGGAAAGTGGCTTATAACTTCTACGCTTAGCTGTAATACACGTAAATCAAGCCCAGACGTCCGTGTATTATATGTAATTCACACAGAAATTTAGATTTAAATTGACAAAGAGCATTTTATTAGTTTATTTTATCTTCATTCAACTCATAATACCTATAACGTTTTATTAAAAATACTTGTTGAACGTACTAGCTGTAATACCCAAAATAGTCGGGACAGTCAACGTGTTAAAGCTCCTTTAAAGTCAAAACGTTCAAAGAATAATTTAAAAGAAACAATTTTCCTACTATTTTTGGCCTGATATTTAAAGGATGAAATATGAAGAATGTTCATTTTATGTAAAATTAAATTTATAAAAATTTCAAGTCTTTTGTTTTTATGCGTAGGAGTATCAGAAAATATTATTTTAATATTATTTTATTATTATTGATATTAAAAATAGATCTAAGGCATTTTGTTTTATAAAAGAATAGTAGAAATTTTCAGAATAGCACTTAATTAAATTATCATTCCTAGTAACATACCACCTATTTTAATAAAAATTTGTGAGGATATCGAAAACATTAGACACATAGCCTAAGTTAATGTAACAGAATGTAACATAATCTATACATATAATAAAATTCTAACTGAGTCGAATATGTACATAAATATTTATTGGGAAATCTTATTGAAATAGTCATTATTATGATTACAGAGGCCGAATCTATAGTTTTTAGAATTTTTGTCTGTCGTCTGTCTGTCTGGGAACGCATCATGAGAAAATAACTAGAGAGATTTTGATGAAATTTGGTATGATAATAGCTGGTTATCCGAGTCAACATATAGGACACTTAATACTTTCTTAGATTTACGCGAATACTTGACATTTTAATTAAAACTATCTTTTCGTTTTTTTCGCGAATTTATTTTGATTTTTGGTTCCCGACGTTTCGAATGCTTTACAGCAATCATGGTCACGGGAGAGATAAACATAACAGACAGGTAGATGTAGTAAGTTCTTACTGTGTAGATCAAAATAACAGCTTATCAGATTAATATTTTTCATTTTTCATTTGTAAAAGTATATAGTAATAGTGTTGCTTAGTAAGTTGTTTTTAAATAATAACAAACTAAATGAAAATTATTATCCTTAATTAATTTTAACTTTTTTAAATTACACATAGAACAATTATATGGCTTAAATAATTAATTAACTCTCTCTTAGCCAACGTGGTGGACAATGGCATAACACCCTTCTCTTTGAAAGGAACCCCAAGCCGAAAATGCCAAAAAAATATGTAAGAAGGCCCAAGTGAGACGTGTGAAATTCAAGTGTCTGAATCGATTACAAAAAC